ACCTAGCCAAATCTATCTATCTCTCCCCTTGTTGTTTATCTGCATGAAAACCCTAACAACATTCACCTTTTCCAAATCCCAGAATCAGATCCAACCAACAACATTTAAAATCCAACTACCCAAAACCCACTTCTTTAAACCAAATAACATTCACCAACGATCTAACCTCAACGCTCTTCAAAACCCCCCAGTCAGAAAGTAGACAAAGATTCACCTATTCTAGCTGACAACACCATCATCCATGTCTGCTAGCTACTATATATATATAATGTACGTGTATATATTAGGTAGGTACTACAACCACAAAGACCAAAGTGTATGCCTTGTGTTGTTGTGTTTCTTCTCTGTGGTAAGGTAAGCCTCAAGCAAGCAGCTTCCTTAGAACTCTGGATATTGATTTGGTTGATTAGGATTTGGATATTTAATCTGTTGAATCTTTGAATCTATAACTTAGGCATCATTTATTTTGATGAATGAATCTGTTGATTTTTGAGTGGTGTCATTTTGGTACAGAAATGGTACTGTCACTACTACAATTTTCCCTTGTTCTGACAACCCTTTGTGGTCAGTAAAAATCCCACTACTGACGAAAATTCGTCACTAATGGCTTCCTGACGAGTGCAGCGGCGAAAATAAAGATCGTCAGTAAAAGTCCTGTCAGTACTACTATTACTGACCAACTTTTGCAACTCTTTCGTCAGTAAAAGTTTGTCTCTGACACAAGTCATTAATTGGTTCTAGATTATTACTGGCAAAACAAATAGCTAGTATTGAGTAAGCTTTTGTTAGGATTGTTTTTACCCCAAAAAATAAGATTTGCCAATATTATTTGTCAATTTATTTGTGAGCTCATGCCCTATTAAAATATACTTCTTTCAAATGTCTTGTTTTGTAATATAATATGGACATTTTTCTTTTCTTAAAAAATTTCATTGATACTTATAATGTAACAAGAAGTATAAATACAATATTATAAATAGTGAAAGATTGAACCATACATTCACCATCCTTATAAAATATGAAGTACCAATGTGGCAATGTTGATTACAATAGCCAAATTATTACAAAGATCTTCCTAGGTACATCAATAGAGTTCAATAACTTTAGTTGCCCTTACTGTACAAAACTATGCAATGCCAATTATTCAACAAGTACACTACAAAAGTATGCATACATCATTAGGGTCCAAAATACAATCAACCACTATACCAAAAATGCATAACACTAACTGCATCTATTCAAGTCCTTGAGTACCTTGATCTGATTCTAAACAGTCAGTCTCAGTAGGGTCTACATCCCCCCTAAAAACAAATAATCCCCACACTGTCTTTTATTTCCTGTGAAAGGTTTATAATAAACTTTCTTCACATTACTCTTGAAACTTCTCCACAACTTTTCAATATTCTTCATTGTTATATCCCTTGAATACATGAATCAAATATTGTTGTTGAGGAAGAAATTCATCGGTGCCCTGCATCCACAATAAGTTTCTCATACATCTTATTTATATGATGATTCAAACATATATACCAGTTTATCAAAAGAAAAAGAAAAAGAAAACCAATATACCAGTACCACCTGTAGAACCATCTCCCTCTAGATCATCCCCCAAGTCAATGTTGGGCCCTTCTTGTGAACTCTCCAGAACTACTCATCTAAAATATTTGATATACATAACATTAATGGAGTAACAAATTAATCATACATCATTGGCAAAAAACTATTACTTTAACATTTCAATACAAAACAATCTACTAAAGAATTATTCAGCATAGATCATCCCTCACTCTTACTGTCTCTCAATTGAATTACCCTCATCACCATCTACTTCAATTTATTATCCATTGGGTGACCCTCATCACTCATCATCATCTACTTCAATTTACAAGCAAACCCAAAAAATAACAAAAAACTGAGAATAAAGAATATATTAACCACGAAATTGCACATTCATTGGACTGAAGAAAAGTAGAAATATAACACCAAACAACTAGACCAACTTAATAGCTAAAGATTCGACAAAAATAACTTAATAGCTAAAGAAACTCACATTATTTACAAACAAATAAAGTATACATACTAACCTAAATATACTTACACATATATAAAAGCCCAAAAATCTCAATATATACAAACTTATTCAACAATAATAATAATTAAAAAACAACAACAACAATATAATAGAAAAAGCTAAAGGGAAACACACCTGGATTCTAAGTTTCCAAAAAAAAAAAAAATTCAA